CGTGCCCGAAAAACACGCTCATACAACCCTAACGGGCGGTTCGGGTCGGTCGAGCGGGTAGAGCGGGCGGGACATTAAAATATGACGCGCGCTAAAAAAACACGCACGCGTAACCCTAACGGGCGAGTCGGATCGGGCGCGCACCCTAATGGGCGGGCGGGTTGGGCGGGCGGGACATTAAAACATGACGCGTGCTCGAAGTAACTCGCACGCGGAACCCTAACGGACGGATCGGATCGGGCGGGCGGACCCTAACGGGCGGGCCCGGTCGGGCGGACGGGACATTAAACTATGACGAATGTTCAAAAAACACGCACACGTAACCGTAACGGGCGAGTCGGATCGGGCGCGCACCCCAACGGGCGGGCTGGTTGGGCGGGCGGGATATTAAAGAATGTCGTGTGCTCGAAATAACACGCACGCGGAACCCCAATGGGCGGATCGGATCGGGCAGGCGGAGACTAACGGGCGGGTCCGGTCGGGCGGGCGGGACATTAAAGTATGACGCATGCTCGAACAAAAGACGCACGCGTAACCCTGACGGGCGTGTCGGAACGGATGCGGACCTTAACGGGCCAGCGGGCCGAGCAGGCGGGTCATTCAAGTATGACGCGTGCTCGAAGTAACTCGCACGCGAATCCAAACGGGCGAATCGGATCGGGCGGGCGAACCCTAATGGGCGGACCGGGTCGGGCGGGCGGAAATTCAAATTATGACGCAACGCATGTTCAACAAAACACGCACGCGTAACCTTGACGGGCTGGTCGGGTCGGGCGAGCGGACCCTAACGGGCGGGTCGGGTCGGGCGGGCGGATCATTAAAGTATGACGCGTGCTCGAAGTAACACGCACGCGTAACGCTACCGGGCGAATCGGTTCGGGCGAGCGAACCCTAACGGGAGGATCGGGTCGGGCAGGCGGGACATTCAAGTATGACGCGCGCTAAAAAAAACACGCACGCGTAACCCTAACGGGCAGGTCGGGTTGGGCGAGCGTGCCCTAACGCGCGGGTCGGGTCGAGCGGGCGGGACATCAAAGTCTGATGCATGCTCGAACAACACGCACGTGTAATCCTAACGGGCGGGTCGGATCGGATGCGGATCCTAACAGGCGGGCGGGCTGGTTAACCCGAAAAGCCCGCCGCTCGAGACATCCTCGCAACTCTGGCGCCGCCGCTGGAGACATCCTCGCAACTCTGGCCAGTGTAGCCCGAGTAGCCCGAATAACCCAAATGGGCGCACGGTTGACCCGAAAGGCCCGAAAAGCCCGAAAAGCTCGCCACTCGAGACATCCTCGCAACTCGGGCGCCGTCGCTCGAGACATCCTCGCAACTCAAGCTTTTATGGCTTTTCGGGTTTTTCTGGCTTTTCGGGCTATTCGGGTCAACCCACTTTTCAGACACCCCTGGCCGACGCAATGGATAAAAGGGCAGGCAGGAAGATAATGAGGATGAGGAGGAGGCGGAGGAGGAACGACGGGGAATGAGGATTGAAGGGGAAGAGGAGCAGAAGGAAAAGGAACAGGGAGGGTCACAGGGAGGGAGGAGTGATGAGTAAGGAGGAAGAAGAGGGGGAGAGCGAGGGGGGAGGAGGGAGACAAGGAGGAAAAACAGGAGGAGCAGGTGGAGGAGGAGGCAACGCAGGGGTAGAGGGAGGACGAAGGGGGCAAAGGATGATTAGGCTTAGGAGGAGATGGAGGAAGGAACGTGTAGGGGGAATGGAGAAGGGGGAGGAAGAGGAGGGCCAGTAGAAGCAGGAGGAGAGGGATGAGGAAGAAGGAGGCGCAGGAGGAGGAGGAGGACGATCACAACGGCGAGCAGGAGTCCAAGGACGAGGAGGATGAGGGGCAGGTGGAGTGGGAAGGGGATGTCATCGACTCCTCCCGCACTTCAAGTTATCCGTTAAGCACACACACGCATCACGCGACCCCGCCGCCCGATGGCTCGCTCTGCTCCCCCCACACATGCGCACCGAACCCATCCCCTGATGCTACCCCCGGGCCCCGCGCCCGACAGTTACATTCCGCCAGCCCCATGCGGTCCATCCCCCACGTTTGTCAGGCCATCCAAAGCACCCTTCATCCTCCATTTCCCCCTCCTCTTCCTCCTCCTCCTCCTCCTCCTCCTCCTCCTCCTCCTCCTCCCTCCCCCCTCCCGCCTCCGCACCCCCCTTTGCGTGGGGGGCCTGCCTTGTCCCCTCGGCCAGCCACGAGACCAGCCGCAGAGCCGGTGGCCGAGCCGCTGCTAAAGGAACCTGTGGGGCGCACCAAGCGGGCATCAGGAGGCGAATGCCGAGCGGGAGGAGGAGGAGGAGGAGGAGGAGGAGGAGGAGGAGGAGGAGGAGGAGGAGGAGGAGGAGGCTCGTGAGCCCCAATAGTCCCCCTATCGTGTAGGGATCGAGACTGTCCGATGGGGCGCGCGCGCGGAGGAGGAGGAGGGAGGAGGAGGAGGAGGAGGAGGAGGAGAAGGACGAGGACGAGGAGGAGGAGGAGAGGAGGAGGAGGAGGAGGAGGAGGAGGAGCAAGAGAGGAGGAGAGGAGGAGGAAGAGAGGAGGAGGAGGAGGAGGAGGAGGAGGAACGCCACTGACTGAATGGGAAGGAGGAAGCAGGGGACGGGGTCACTCCGCAGACCGTGTGGAGGGAAGCCCGTCCAGGGGCAAGAAAAGTCTTCGACTCCCCTGGGGGGCTATGTGGAACCAGACGGAAGGGCGGAATCATGCGATTGACAGCTGTCGTCTTCTCCCCTCGAGACGGATCTCGACCTGGCACGGATGGCGTCCTCAGCATACATGCGAGACCTGAGCCCACGGGCACGGGCGGCGTTAAAGGCTGCAAATAGGAGGATAGGAGGTCGAGAGCAACACTATGGGCAAGTACTGCGCCACTGCTTGGGGTCACCCAAAGGTGGAGGAGAAAAGCGGAAAGCGAATCGGAACCCCCAAAAATGGGAATGGACGCGAGAAGGGCACGGACAACGGGGATATGATACACCCTATGGTGAAGGATTGAGCCGCCTCCGACATTGCAGCATCCCCAGGCGCAGCCACCAGCGCCACATCTGAAGCGCGTCGTGGTGGGTCAGGCGTTGAAAATTAGTTTCACCGCAGCAGTCAAACAGAAGGGGTGACGCTGGCCGATCGTTTTCATTAGAAGAACAAATCGATCGCACTCAGTTTTGGGCAGGGGGTAGCCTAGTCCAGTATATCCTACTGGCACGAACGAGCTCATAGCCACAAGGAATGGGTCTACGAACTATAATGTGTTTGTGCATTTGGGATTGAAGATGCCGGGGGGAGCGT